TAACAATTTTTAAAATTTAATAGAAAAAAAAAAATTCAGTTAACCGAGGTGCGTGCCCACCCCTACAAACTCGTGGTCAACACGACACGGAAGTTCCCTAGTAAGAAGGTAGTATATATATTAAATAAAAGTTGTTTTCATTTAGTCAGAGTCCAAGACTCCAAGTTCTCTATTCTCAATCTAGCCAAGAGTAGGTGTTGATTAGCCATTGTCAGCGCTCCACGTGCACTGAAATCTTACATGGAGCATTATTATTATTTTTTTTTTGAGGAAAATACATGGAGCATTATTTTTTGTGCTCGAAATTGGAATGACGTTTATCGAAATTGTAAAAAATGAGTGTGATTAAATATAATTATTGGATATCGAAAAAATTAATATAAAAAAAAAATGTAGTTTTAAGACATGCTAAGCCTTAAACATCAATTTCAAAGTTCATTCTAAGTTTGAGATAATATTTTTTTGTTGGTTGCATATAATTTTAAAAAATACTTTTTTTGTTTATTTTTAATAAAATTTAGTTAAATTTTTAATTTTTTAAATATAAATTTTAAATAAAATTTCAATAATTTATATGAATAATAATTAAAAATATTTTTTATATAATTTTTATATATTATTAAATATATATTTAATATTATAAATTTAAATAAAAAAAAATAATTGTTTAAATAATATAAAAAATTATCTTTAAAATTTTTAATTTTAATTTAAAATTTAAAAATTTTTTATACTAAATATGATTGCTAAAACTCTTATTTACGCCCTTTATTTATTTTATTTTCACAGTTAATATTTTTAAAATTTTTTCTCTCAATCAACATATTTTATTTTTTGAAACCATAAAAAATTTAATATTTTAACTGGATAACAGTTAATAACCATTAAAACATGCAATATTTTTTTTTTTTGATAAAAATAATAATTAAAAGTTGAACCTGGCCATCTGGACCAAGTAGTTCTAACCACGCTTGTAAAGTTCATATCTCCCTTTTTAGGACAACAGTTTGAGTCGACCCCATAATAAAATGTTTAAAAAATAATAATAATAATAATAATAATTAAAAATTAAAAATTAAAATTTTACTTTTTAATAAAATTCAACCACTAATCAAAGTATATTTCACCACAACCCTTTTAAATTATAGTGGCACGACAGGAGAATGCAAACATGCAATACCTTGATACTAAGAAAGTGACGTACACATTATATGGTGTTATGTTATCTATTCAATGTGGATCTCTCTTTGATGATGTGGCATAACTTTCTGCATACGTGGACACCACGTGTGCAGTGGGCCCCACTGCTGGCAAGACTTTTTTTTTTTTTTGGTTGGTTGTGTACAACTAGCCCCTTGGTTGTGTATTGCTCGTCGGAGAAAATGGAGAATTACAGAGCGTTTCCAGATTCTGGCAACTTGTCTAGCAAAGTCGTTGCCGTCGCTGTTGGTGAAGCTCACACTCTTGCTTTAATAGGTGAAATAGTTATACTCAGATAAGAAAACTTGGGATTATTTCTACAGCGTTGTTGTTTCTTCTTCTGTTTGCGAGACAAGGTGAATTTGAGTATGGAGCTTTTTAATCTTCACTAATCTTTCCAAGATGACCAGAAAAACATAACCTATGGTGACCCATCACTTGGCGACCATCCTGTCGATGAAATTTCATACCGGATCTTCCCATCCGACTCGACATACACCTCACGGATCTACTCGAACTCGAACGGCTCCAGCTTCTCCCCAATGCTAGTCAAAATGTGTCTCAGATCCACAACGGAAACGAACTCGGTGGACTCCTTATCCAGGACCTTGAACGCATCACGGAGCTGGCAATCGGAGGGTTTGGGTTTCATGTGCTTCGCCATGAGATTCAAGAAGCGAGGGAAAACAAAAGGCACCATCAATTTCTCCTCGGAGATTATGAACTTGAGTTGTGCCTGGGTGGAGTTTCTCCCGAAGCGAGCGCATGAGGATCCCCAACTCGGAAGGGGCGATCTTCCGATCCCGTCGGTGTCAAAGAGGGTGAAGGCTTCCTTGAATTTTTTTTCTTGTTTTGATTTTTTAACTCCCCCAAATCGAAGGGCTTTTCTTTACTACAACAGTCATCCATTACTTGGTCAAGCAGAAAACCTCATCAATTTTCTGTCTGGACACAAATATGATGGACAATATCTGCACGAGCTTCTTAGGAAAAAATTGGGAAACACAAAACTGCATCAGACATTAACTAATGTTGTTATTCCTGTGTTTGACATCAGAACAAATCAACCAATCTTCTTTTCCACCTACGAGGTTCATTAAACATGCTACTTTAGTTTAATTAATCTCAAGCTAAATATTGAAATAAAACCCTGAAATTAAATGATTTTGGATATTGTATATATGTGAAGCAGGTGAAGAGAAATCCATCTTTAAATGCGTTGCTGTCGGACATCTGTATTGGAACCTCAGCAGCACCGACTTATCTTCCACCCCATTATTTCACCACCAAAAATACTACTAGCAGTAGTACTGAAGAAGATATCAGAGAATTCAACTTAATAGATGGTAGTGTTGCAGCTAATAACCCGGTAAATATATTTATTAATTATATATTAAACGTGACTTAACTAAAAAGATCATTTAATGAAAAATTATTAGTATATCATTCGATTCAATACACTTATCAACATCTGTTGATTCAATTATTAAAATTTGCATTAGAAAGTTTTCTCTTAATATGTCTTATGAAGTATATTAAATAAGAAAATGTATTAATTATTGTCCTTAATTGATATATGTGGCTTAATTTTGCCTTGTATTAATTTGGCCTTGCTAGCTAATTTTACTTAATTTGATTTGCTTGTATAGACTTTAGTGGCTATGGAGGAAGCAAAGAAGGAGATGACAGAGGTCGGAGGAGGCTCCCCACCATGTCATTACACGACCAGATTTTTTGTTATATCCTTAGGAACTGGCTCAAACAGATCAACCAAAGACAAACACAGTGCAAAAGAAGCGGCCAAATGGAATTTGTTTGGTTGGCTACGTCGTATAGTTGAAGTATTCACTCAAGCCAGTGCCGACATGGTCGACTACCACATTTCCGTCGTACTCAAAATGCTACAATCTGAAGACAATTACCTTCGTATTCAGGTACCCTATATACGCAGACTTAATTCATTAATTTTATTTGTTTCTATAGCATGCATCATGTCAATAACCAATCATATAATTAATACAAAATATGTGTGTGTGGGTGTTTGTTTACAGGATGATACATTAAGTGGGGTGTTGGGTTCAATTGATATAGCAAAAAAGAAGAATTTGGATGATCTTGTGGAAGTAGGGGAAAAACTTTTGAAAAAGCCAGTTTCAAAGGTTAATATGGAAACGGGTTTGATTGAGCCTTGTGGTCAAGGATCTAATGAAGAGGCTCTCAAGAGGTTACAAATCTTAATTACCCCTAATTAATTTCTTTAATTGATATAATATATATAATTATTCTCATACTTATGCTTGTAAATTTTT